AAGCTTGGGTCGAATAATTTATCTTCAAGTTTGTTTTAAGGCTCGTTTAGTTAACCAGCAGTTGACTTGTTAAGGCTCGATAAATTATAAAATTAACTTATTTTTATTAGTTGATATTATATATTGGTTCATTAAAGGTTCAAGTTCGATTTGTTAACGAGAGCCAAGTTGTAGCTCACTTATCGGCTAACAACCTGACTTCAAATCCACAACGAGCCTAGTTCGATTTTTTTTTCCCTTTTCCTTCTCCCACCCCTTGTCTTATCATCACATGCCACTAAGGACAAAAAGTACCAGACTTCAAACACCAGTTTTGTGCAAATCAGGATTAATCTTAATCTTGTGTACTAAAAATTACCTTTCCAAGAATAGAATCTATCTATGAAACTTTTATAGCAAGTGTCAAACTCACTCCACTTGTCATGTAAAATACGTATCCAAGGCTCGTTTGGCCCGATTTATGAGTGCATGATCCGAATATTAATCACATTAAGGAAAAAAAAATAATTATTGTGCATGATTATCACTAAGCATCCTACCATAAAATGCTCCAAATTAACAACATATATATTAAAATCATGCACCCAAACAGGACCTAATTAAGATGGGATAAACCTCATCCAAATGGTGGATGATTTTGATAGGGACCATGTTAGGAATCCATCATCAAACACTAGCTAGGGATTAAATCTTAACAGCTTAAGGTTTAGACAAGAGATCATAATCCAGTACAAGTGATATTTGTCCCTTGTTGTCTTTGTTTGAAAGTTTTTTTTTTTTGAGTGGATAACAAGTGCTTAAACCTACCCTTTTAAATTTGTATAATTCATGCATTTTTGTCCTCTTCCTTTGTGTTTTTTTTTTTTTTCTTTTCTTTCTCCCAAAAGGTTTAGATGAAGATATAGGCATGAGTTATTTATTTTATTGCTTCATAACTTGTTATAATATATAAAAGAACTAGATTATTTATTATACATACTTTATAACACGTTACAATATATAAAAAAAGAACTAGATTATTTATTCTATACTTTATAACATGTTACAATGTATAAAAGAACTAGATTTTACTTGCTTGTTGA